CATTGAAGAAATCATGGGTAAATATTTAAAATTTCTTTAGCCAAATGAAATGGAAACAAAACACACTAGACTCTCAGATAAAAAGAAGGCAGATCTAAAAGGGAAGTTTGTAGCTAAGAATGCTGTAATCAAAAAATAAGAAATGTCAAATAAATAACCTAAGATGTATTTAATGGTCTTAGAGAAACAAGAACAAACCGAAAACAAGCTCAGTAAAAGGAAAGAAACAATGAAGATGAGAACAGAAACTAATGGACCAAGGGCTGAAAGCACAATACAAAGTGTTAATGAAACAAATAATATTTTGAAAAGATAACAAGATTGATAAGCTCTCAGCCAAACTAGCAAAAGAGAGAGAGAAGACCAAATAAATACAATTAGAAATGAAAAAGAGGATATTACAACAGGCAACACTAAAATTCAGAACATCATCAAGGACTATGTTGAAAACCTATATTCTAATAAATTGGGAAATATGGAAATGGATAAAATTCTAGATACATTTGACCTACCAAAATTGAACCAAAAAGATATAAAAAACAAAATGATCAATAACAATTAGTGAGATTGAAACAGTAATAAAATGTCTCTCAACAATGAAAAGCTCAGGACCAGATGGATTCTTACTGAATTTTATTAGACCTTTACAAAGGAAGTAGAATCAATGCCTCTCAGATTATTCCATGAAATAGGGAAGAAACACTTTCAGTTTCATTCTATGGAATCAAAATTACCCTGGTACCCAAACCCAGTAAGGACACAACAACAAAAATATAGATTATATCCTTGGTGAACATTGCTATAAAAAAAAAAAAATTCTTAACAAAATGCTTTCAAACCAAATTCAGTGGCACATCAAAAACATTATACAGGGGGCTGGTGAGTTAGCTCAGTGGTCTAAAGCACCTGCTTAGGCAAGCAAAAGATTATACACCCTGATCAAGTTGGTTTTATGCCAGGAATACAAAGATGGCTTAATATATGCAAATCAGTAAACATTGTAAGTCACATAAATAGGATCAGTAGATTAAAAAAATCATGATTATCTTTTTTTTTTTTTAACAGTGTCTTAATATGCTGCTCAGGCTGTAGTCCAGGATGGCCTTAAACTTACAGTGATCCTCCTGCTTCAGCCTCCCAAATTCTGAGATTACAGGCACGCACCACCATGCCTGGCTTATGATTATCTTAACTGATGCAGAAAAAGGTTTTGACAAAATTCAACATCCCTTAAAGATTGATGTTTTGAAAAAGCTCAGGATAGAAGGATCACACCTCCATATCAGAAAGGCTGTCACTGTATACAGCAAATTTACAGCCAACATCATACCAAATGGAGAAAACATTAAAGCATTTCCTCTGAAGTCAGGAATGAGAAAAGGGTGTCTAGTCTTACTACTTGTATTCAATACAGTTTTTAAAATGCGGCCAGAGCAATTAGACAAGAGAAAGAAATCAAAGGGATATAAGCAAGAAAGGAAAAAAATCAAATTATCCTTATTTGCTGATGACACGAGTCTATCTCACCCAATTAGAGTGGCTAGCATAGAAAACAAAACAAAACAGTGGATGCTGGTGAGGCGGCTGGGAGAAAGGAACCCTTCTGCACTGTTGGTGCAAATGAAAATTAGAGCAGGTACTAAGGAAATCAGTACAGTTTCCTCAAAAGTGAAAATTGGACTAGCACATGATCCAGCTCTACCGTCTTAAAAGAATTAATCACACTATGCTCACTGTGCACAGTTCACCATGGCCAAAGTGCCGGCCACCTTTGTGGGTGGCGTGGCCTCTCCCACATCCGGGACCTTGCTCAGGATGCGCACACCCAGCACACTGAGCCTTGGCCCTGTCTGCTCCTGCTGCCCAAAGCTCCTGGATTTAGAGCACCACCCTAGAGACACCCAGCTGAAGGCTGGCTGAGGAGACCCCCATATTATCTCATAGCACCTAGGCCCTCCCGCACTGGTGTCCGAACTTCCCTGTTGGACGCCCAACCCCACTCTTCCCCTCCCCCCACTCTCTTTTTTTGTTCCTGCTTTTCATTTTTCCCTTTTGAAACATTTAATTTTTTTTTTATTTTTACTTTTAAGGCCTTTTTGAATTTTCAGAAACATTGTGCAGACCTAAAGGAATGCTCCTAATGGGCATCTCCCACTTTCCCCTAAACCCAAACATCTCCCACGACCACAGTGCATATGTATCCAAACTAAGAAATGAGAATGGTGACATCCTGGAATTAAGTGGATTTCACCACTCCCCTGTGCCAGAGTCCGTGTCATCTGTAGTCAGTGTCCCCCTGTCTCCTCCAGTCTGTGGGGTGGCTCAGGGTGTCTTTGCATTTCCTGACCTGACCCTGGGGTGACAGTCCCTCTGCTTGGGCGTGGCTGCTGGTCTCCTTGAGTAGGCTGAGCCACAGAAATAGGGCAAGAGCCCAGGGCAATTCCCCTGCCCCTCCTGCTGTGTCAGAGGCACAAGAGGTCAACACAGGGATGTCACCCTGGTGACATCTGCCTGTTTCTGGGCCACAGCAGTGGCTGGCAGGAGATGTGACTGCATTTGGCTTCCTGTGTTCTGTTCTTAGGTGGGAGTCACACCCCGTAGCGGCCCTGTCCTCAGCTGACATGTGATGTATTTCACTTTTCTATTTTATTCTCTGTTATTTTTATTTTCCCGTGTCTCCACAGCAGCTCCAGCAGGGAAGGAGGCGTGGCTGCCTGTACTCATCTCCGTGCCGCAGCCGTGCCCGGCACAGGACGGATAGCCGGTCGACAACTCATACAGTTTGTCGTGCTATGTTTGTTCACCAGTTTACCTGGTTGCTGCCTAGGCCCGAGTCTGCCGGGCTCCTGCCCCACCGTGGCACCAACCACACCCTGACTTCTTCCTGAGCAGCCTTGGACTTGCAATGTCACCAAGCCCACAGTCCTAGCTATTCCCTGGAGTGACAAGTGTTTTTCATGAAGCTCAAAGTCACAATCTCTTCTCTGGGTCTCTGCGGGGAGAGATGGGAAATGTGGCTCTGGGTTTATTTTTTCTTTGATTGATGGTACTAAGGATTAAACCCAGAACCTTCACGCTGGGCTATATCCCTAGCCCTATTCATTTATTTATCTAGACATAAATTTCCCAGGCTGGATTTGTTTAGTCTTAGGTTGACACTAAATTGCCCAGCCTGGATTTGAACTTACAGTTCTCCTCTTCAGCCTCCCAGAAGGCTGGGATTACTGGCGTGCACCGCCATACCTTGCTAGCTGTGGACGTTAGCATTGCACGATTTCTCCTCAACTCTGATGGCAGCTCACCCAGAAGAGGGCTTAGAATAATCGGTGTAACCAGGGGGAAGTAAAAACTAAGAAGGAATTTGACAAGTGTGTCAGGAATTTGAAAGGTAAGGTGACCCTGTGGGGTGAATTGTGCTTCCCTCCCAAACTTGCGTGCTGTGGTTCTGACTGTTGATATCTCAGCATGTGACTGTGTTTGAGGACAGAGCCCATATAGAAGTAATTTGGTGAAAGTAAATACAGCCCCTGCGTGAATGTAGTGAGCATCTTGATAATAAGAGAAAATGTGCACACACACACACACACACACACACACACACAAACACAAAGAGGGAACAGGTGGCCACCTCTAGCCAAGGAGAAAGGCCTCAGAGGAAGCCAGTCCCTGGCACCTTGACCTTGGACTTCTGGCCTCTGGAAATGCGAGCAAATCTTCTGTTGCACAAACCATCATGACTGGGGCTTTGCTATGGAATCAAATTCAGTGGCTAAGATTGAAGGTTTCTAGAGAAAGACAAAAAGTCTAATACTAACAAGTGCTGGCGAGGGTGTGGGGAAACTGGAGCTCGCCTACACTGCTATGGGAATGTCATCTCCTAACATGAGCATGCAAATCAATATAGTGCTTCCTCAAAAAAACTAACCCTAGAAATCCTATTTGACCCTGATATTTCTCTTCCAGGTATCTTCTCCAAATAGTTAAAATGGTCATTTTTACAGGAATATATGCGCACCCATGCTTATAGCAGAACAATTCATAATAGACACATTTTGGAAACAGCATAAATGTCCATCAACAAATAAGTGGGTAGAGAAAATGTGCTATTTATGCAGATGCAGTCTACTCTGCTGTAAAGACAGACAGACCTGAGGCACTCCTAGGGATATGGATACACCTTGAGACCATAATGTTAAGTTAAACAGGTCACATGCACAAGCTAAATGGTGCATGGTTTCTCTTCTGTGAGAGAATAAAAATGTATCTATGCAAATAAAAATGTATGCAAATAAAGAGCAAAACAGAAGATAGGTAGGAAATAGGGTGAAGTGTAAATGATTCTCCAAATTACCTATTCTTCTGTATCAAAGATATTTTAATATATATGATAATTTGTTCCATTTATAATATTGCCCCTCTTATTTCATAAAAAAAGTTCTGTGCTATTATTTGTTTGTTTCTTCTTTGTAGAAGAGAATCTTTTTTTATCTCTGAGTGACTACTTTGAACATAATAATATACCATGTATAACTATGGCTATCCTCTTACTGTTTTGTGATGAAAGTTTGGATATTTTTTATTAAAAATAAATAAAAATAAAGGAAATGTAAAACCTTATAGGGGCACAATGGCTGAGGCACTGCCGCACCAGCCCCCTCTCTCCACCACAGAGCATGAGGACCACAGTCCCTCACCCACCTGTGCACTACGCCATGCGGTAAGCCACCAAGCCTCCCCACACCCGGCCTTCCCTGTGGGGCAGCGGTAGGCAGAGCAGTGGTTCTTGGCCTCCTGCTGCCTTGTGGCAGCAAATGCAAGCATGCAGGTGAGATGACCTGCGCCGGGTCTGGCTTGGGCTTTGCACGCACCCCTCCCTCCCTGGAGCTGCCTTTATGAAGACAAGGGTACCCAGGTCTTGCCAAAAGTTTTATTGCAGCAGCTGACATAAAATGCAGAAAGTTAGTCGCAGTGTCTGCAACTGATCTTCAACTGCATGCTGTGGACCTCCGTGCTCCTCGTTGGCCAGGCCCGGAAGATTATGCCTTGATTCATGGGAGGACACTGTCCTGCACTGGGCCCATGTCAACCTGAGGCTCAGCTGCTTCACTTAACTCATGAGTGGCCCCGAGTCTACAGAAATGGTCCAGGGCTGGCATGGAATGGCCCAGTCCGTGATGTCAAGGGGCCTATGGAACCTTGCCCTGATCCTTCCCCATACACATGAAAACATGCGGTCCCGAGAGAGACGGTGTCACTTCAGTGCCTCCGAGCCAGTTAGAGCAAGGACAATAGCCCCAGTGCACACCCACTCCAGTTCTCTTTCCACACCACAATGAATTGATAACTGCCATTGTTCACAGATGGGCAACAGGGCTTGCAAATGTGCTTCCTGGTGGCCCTCGGCTGCTAATGTACCCTCCCACAGGGTTTTGGGCCCTGGGCTGAGCATCAGAGGCTTGGACTTTGGGGCCATCTGTGCTGTTAAGAGCATGCTGTATGCACTTGGGCAAGTTCCCTGAACTCGCTGGGCCCCTGGGATAATCCCCACCTTGGATGTGTCTCCGAGGCACCCATGTCTTGCAACTGTGTGGCCGGATGTGGTCATCTGCTTATTGATCTTCTTAGGATCATTTGACTTATTAGCAGCTAAACCTAGGTAAAGCTCTAGCTACCAGCAGACAGAGGGGCCAGAACAGGCCCCACCTCAGGGCTGCATCACTCTGCCAAAGAAGAGGACGGTTGAGTTCTCCAGAATGCCCATTAGAAAGGGTCTATTGAAGGTGATCGTTTTGGAGTTTGGAAAGGCTGCTCGGAAGCTGAAGACCGCCCCTGTGCCCGACACAGCTCTGGTTCCCGACTCCTCCACCTCCACCATGGCTTTGTGCACCACCTGCAGGGAGACACCAGGCATCACTGAGCTGCCAGAGGCCAGGAGAAGGCTTCAAGGCAAACAGAAAACCTTCTGCCCATGAGCACCAAGCTGAAGTATCCATGCCAGTGAACCACAAGAGGGGGAAGTGGAACCTTGGACAGCTACCCTTTCCAGGCACTGTCCCTGGAGCAGACTGTACAGGAAGGTAGGTGGTGGGATTCTTGTGACAACTCAGGGTAAGGCGTGACACTCCAATTTTGCATATAAAAGGAGGCTCAGAGGTTCAGGCGTTTGTTGGAAGGGAAGGAACTGGCTAGAGATTGAATTTTGACTGCTTAATACAGGATTCCTTCCCCCAAGGCATGGTAGAGGATGAGGCTTCCCATTGCAAGATGGGCAAGCCACAGAGGAAAAGCTTTGACTCTGGGGAAAAGGGGAGGTGGCAGAGCAAGGAAAGGAGAGGAGAGAAGAGGAAGGAAGGGGAGGGGAGGGAAGGGAGGGAAGTACATGGGAGGGGAGAAAAGGGAAAGCAGGGGAGGGGTGGGGGAAGGAAAGGAATGGCAGTTGTTGAAAGAGATGCACAGGAGCTTCAGGGCCCACCTGAGACACCAGGATGTTGGAGTACTTGAAGATGCCTGACAGGTTAGCACTGTGGGTGAAGATGTCCCTGATGCCCAGCTGCGGGAAGATTTTCTCCAGGTGGTAGGTGCCCTCAATGGAGAACTTGGGAAGATAAAGATTGAGCTGCCTAGGAAAAGAAAAGCACCTCTCTTAGACTGAGCATCGCCTCACCGGGCTGCCATTCCAGTCACCTCTCCTGGTGGCTCTCTCTCTAGGAAGGAGTACCCCTTGCCCTCGATTTGGGCTGATTGCAGAGGTGCCACCTAGAAGCTCAGCTTCCATGCCTGGCCCCCCAACTGGGCTGGGCCCCAGAACCTCATGGGAAGCTTTTGGTTAGGAGGGAGTGCATTGGTTGGGCGGGTCCTCCCCCCACCGCTGGGCATGGGCCTCTCTGGCATGGGATGCTTAGGCTGGCTTTGGAGTGGTCTGAAGAGCACCTTCGCATGGTCAGCTGGGTCCACTTCCGCAGCGTTTTCCTGCTCAAGCTGTTCTCCACCTGCTCCATCTTGCCCTGGCCCGGGAGAATGAAGTAGGCAATGGCACTGCCTTCGTAGGGGATGCCCACCACCGCGCAGGAGAGGTCCTTGTCCAGGAAGTAGAAATACTGATCCTTGCGGTTCATCATGGGCACCTGCAGCTTCTTCTCGGGGGTCATGTAGAAGTCCTGGGCCTGAGTCGTTTTGTTGTTGAAGCCGATCTCCCACTTGGCTAAAGAGGAGAAGGAAGGGGCGTGGGGGGGGAGAGAACCATGATGAGAACGAGACTCCCTGAGCTGAGGATAGAGAGCGCCGCACGTGTGCAGTCACCCAGCCCGGGTCACCTAACGCCTTAGCTGCCCAGGTCTGGCCCTTCCTGTCCTTCCATCTCACAGAACACAAGGACTGGCTTTCAGGTCTTCAGAGACTCTGGACCTCACTTGCTCTTTGAGAGTTTGATCCTGTGAAAGGCCAGGCACCAGGCGAGAGGGCTGCGCAAGTACGGGGGCTGGGAGGGCCGCTGAGCGCCGCACTGTCCGCCCTGCTCCCAGCTTAAACTTTGGTCTAGGTTTAGGAGAGGAGTTTGTAAGGCCCTGGAAATCCAGGATCTTTGCTGTTGGGTGTTTCTTTGCTTGTGCTTCCTTTCTCGCTGTTTCCTAAGAGTGTGTCTTATCAAAGCATTAGCTACAAGTCAATGTTTTTGAGTTCTTAATCCTAACCAAGGGTAGATTCTCCCCTCAGCAGCCTGTTGTCCTGAGGTCGGCCCTGGACTAGAATCCAAGTTCCACACCCACTGTTGTGGCCCGCCTGTGCTCCCTCCTCCTCTCCCTCCCTCCACCCCTCTCTCCCTCCCTCCTTTCCTCTCTCTCTGTCTCTCTCT